GAATCCCAGCAATTTACCAAGTAATCACATAGTAAGCAGCTATAAAGTAGAATGGTTATTTACAATCTACAAAATGGTTTTATACCGTGTAAGCAGTTACAACACTTCTATCAAAGGTTTGATCAAAGAGAGAAAATGTTTCTTAAAACTGTCAAAGAAAACACATGCCTGCTTTTCAAGCCAGCTGTTCTATTATCTAGCACTTTAGCTGCAGATTTAACACTCTATGAATACATACGAAACTGAAATAAGGAAAGTGTTGTGGTGAACTCTATCCCAGCTGAAACCAGACCAGGAAGTGAAAGTGAAGTCCAGTCTTTGATGCCATGTAAAAGTATTTAAGCAGGTTATCTGGGAAAATGGAGTGTTAGGTGAAAATTCCATGTGCAGAAGTATACAGAAAATTGCTCAAGTAATTACAACACATAGATCACAGAGCCTTTTGTAAACAGGGATGAATATGTTAATTCCCTGTCCTGAAGCTGGGAAAATGAGGTACAGGGAGGCTGTGTGACAGACCTGCATCTGATCAAGCAGGTGATGGCATGGGAATACAGAGTTGGACCTGACACCAGTGTACCATTCTGCCTCCATTAAGATATAGCAGAGGTTGTCCCTGCCAGGCTATCTACTGCTACTGCCCAGACACACTTCAGGGAAGTGCCCTTTCTCATGAAAGCATTTATTCACCTATTTCAACTCAGCCAAGTTCTTACATGTGAACCAGGATTGTAATGCCATCTAGTTAATTTTATGCCTAATATTAAGCGTTTTCATGTGCCATGCCTTGAAACAGGAGCAATATATGGAATGTGTTAAAGCACTTTCCTGAACTGGTCCCAGTGCTGGTCTTTCTCCTTCCAGAAAAAATATCTGGAGGACACATAACAGAATTCAAAAGCAGCTTTGATCTGTGTTACAAACTAGCATTAGTGAATTGCTGAAGACAAAATACTGATTTGTCTCAGTTGCTAAAAGCAGCAATTGGACAGAAAAAAAGGAATTACAGAATTGTCATGGAATATTTGTTTCATTTATAAACAGAACAGATACAGGATTTGATTGCAGAGAATTATTGCCAGCATAAAACTATGAGAAGTGCAGCAGAGCTAGAATAAAGGTGAATTGAACACTGCACGTAGCTTCTAACAGTGCATTATAGTCACTGTTTAAGTAGTACATTTAACAAAGACAAATAGATCTTGAACTTTTCCTGGTATATCCTCTAGTTCCTGCCAACCAAGTATTTAAGAACTTTGTGAGCCAAAAGTTGTATCCAGACCACTATATTTAATAGGCACCAATGGGTTCATCCTCTAAAAATGTATTAAATTCCCTTCTGAATCCATTTATACTTTTTCTCCACAGACAGCACTTTCTGGCAAAGGGTTCCACATGTTAACTTACTGCACAGAAACCCAAGAATTTGCTAAGGTGTTTTAGTAACCAGAGCTCAAGTTTTGTTAGCAGAGCTCTGGAGTGTTAAAAGGCTTTAGCCCCCAGCCCCTATCCCTGGCCATCCCCATCAGCAGGTACTAGTGAGGGCAGGGAGCAGACCCTCACGTCACTTGCACACCATCACCATCAGGTTACTGACAAAGAGCTGCACCTCTTCTTTTTAATACATCACATTAAAATGGCTTCCTGAACCATATCATGGTGTAACTGAATTAAAAAGTGTCTGGGGGTAGCATGAACATTTCAAATATATTTTTTCAGAAAAAGAGAAAGATTGGTGACCACATCCTTATGTGGTGTAAACAAGTGACATTTCAGTAACCTCAGAAGCAGTGTGCAGGCTGACACTGCGGGTGACTTGGCCTCTCTATGGCTTCTGATCAGTCACTTCCATCTCTTCCTCTGCAGCACTCCAGAAATCTCCACCTGTCCTCCTCCCGTGGAGACAGAGAGACACCTCAATCATCAAAAGGCATTATAAACTGTGACAGAACACTATGTCTGAGGACAACATCTGGCACCAAGGAAAATTACTATTTCAGCTGCTGGAATGTAATCTTAAAAATGAAAAGATTTTCATCAGACATTGCCCTGGATCCTTGCACTCTGTATACACCACAGAAGTGCTCTGCATGATAATAGCATTTACAATCTTAAAAAAAATTGTTTGGGCAATAAAGGAGCCTCCAAGGCTAAAGCATACACTTGGTAAATACTTAACTGATCACCATTAGTCTGAGCTATATGGAGGATACTTTCATTGAAAAAGATTAACATCTGAGATGACAGTATATTTGAATTTTTAGAACAATGTTTTAGTGAGAAAGGGATTTTAGATACAGCAGCTGAGGGACCAAATAGTATTTCAGGAAGGAGTGTACACATAAATTTTCAACAAACAAAATGAAACATTATTTATTCCTCCTTTTTTTTCTCTGCTCATCCCAATCATCCCTTCTGCATTCACATATCAATTGACCCCACTTTTTATTTCTTGTCATCCAAATATTTTAAGACATGTTAAATAGTATTAAATAATTAACAAATATTAAATATCAGAAGATAAATATTATTCTAAAGATTTCCTTGTTTTATTCTGGAGCAAGTAGGCTAAACAGTATGGACTCTATTTCAGTCACTCTTCATCAGGACTGTGAGATTTTTGAGCCCATCTGATTTTAGGAGAGCAAAATGTGTCACTGAAACTCCAAGCTGATTATTAGAGGTATATATTTATCAAACATGACTGAGATTTGTTGAAAACCTGGCTCAAAGTATTTCAGAGAATATGTAGCTGAGCATGCATAAAACAGTGATACACTAAATCAGCCTGTAACCCAGCTTATTTCCTGTTAAATCTGTGTCATTTTCAGAATGTGCTGGCTTTCAAAGGGCACAGGAAGGACTTGACAGAAAAGAGCTCAAAGGTGCCAAATTGTAAGAAGCATCTACAAGTCTGAAAATACTTACATTAACCCATGGATGCTCAAGAACTTGCAAGGCTGAGAATCGCAGATCTACATCTACTTGAAGCATCATTGTGATAAGTTCCTGAGAAATGGAATATTGGGTCAAATTTAAAGAACACTTTCAAGAACAAATCAACATTTAGTTCACTAAAGAGCTCTTTAACTAATTTTGTAAAAGTGCTCAAAGAGAGAGTGAACTACCAACTGCAGAATTATATTCAGATTATTAAAAAAATAGAAGATCTATAAACTGCTGAACTTCCAGCTGAACGTTTAAATCATAGAATCATAGAATCAACCAGGTTGGAAGTGACCTCAAAGACCATCAAGTCAAGCCCTACAGTCGTTACTAGACCATGGCACTAAATGCCACATCCAGTCTCATCTTGAAAACCTCCAGGGATGGTGAATCCACCACCTCCCTGGGCAGCCTATTCCAATGCCTGATCACTCTCTGTAAAAAATCTCTTCCTAATATCCAACCTAAACCTCCCATGGCAGAGCTTGAGTCTGTGCCCTCTTGTCCTACTGCTGGTTGCCTGGGAGAAGAGACCAACCCCCACCATCTCTAGAAAGCCTGGTTTCAAGCCCTTACCCATTCAAACCTCGTTTAAAGCCCTCCTGATCAGCCCTGCCAACTTATGGGCTAGAGTTCTTTTGCCCAGGTATCTAACAGTACCTTGAAAACCTAGAAGACAGTTCTGAGTTACAGTTCTGTAGCCACTGTTTAAGAGAAAAGCACTTAATACATAATGTTCAAAACAGATGGTTACATGAAATTAGGTTAGCTTCCAATTAAGAAAAGGCCAATTCTTTTGTAGGACAAAAAAAGCTAGCAAATATAGAAATTTACTTTAAGCTCTTGTATAAATGACATAGAAGATATTAAAAAAACACCAACGCTCACAAATATTATTTCTCATCCTCTGATTTCCTCTGCAATTACCTAGTTTTCAACTTTCATATGTAAATAGACATATATCTAATTCCACCACTGAGTGGAGTGCACAGAAAACAGGATGACAATATGACAGCAAATAAAGGGGTATCGCCAAAGACCAAAGCTAGTAATTCTTAATAACAAGGATAATTTAAATGGATAGGTAAATGCTTCAAAACAGGAATTTTAGACTGAACTATTTGGAAGAAGGAGTTTCACAGCAGAACATCACTGGCAAAGGGCTTGCAGAGTTCTCATTAATGATGCTATAAAATAAAACCTACTACAACACAATAATGTGGTTTAGAGGACTTCCAAGTCTATGACGGTATCTCATTTGTTAACCTCATCACTTAACAGCTAGTCCTGATCATCTTCCACGTATCTGTAAAAGCAGGATGTAAGTCTCCAAAGAATGGAGATTCACAGCTACTCATTACCTGCATCCACCTCCAAATTTCACTTCTCTCTGTGTGTGTGCGATTAACTGAATACTGTCACACTGAAGGAAACAGAAAGACAGTTTTTCCAGGATTTGCCTTACAGACTACAGAAGTAAACTGGCAGAAATTAAGCACTTATCTATCTGCAGGATGAACACAGGATTTTTTTTATGTACACATATGTAAATAGATGTGTATCTCTGTCCATATATATTTATACACATGCTACAGTGAATGCCAGATCCCTAGAAAATCTGAGTTTAACTGGTGCTCAACTTGATCTGCTCTGCAAGTATAATGAACTCCATTAGGATCTGTATCTGTAAAGAATTATACCTGCCTTAGCACACCGAAGGTTACAGCCCAAGAACTGTGGCCAGAACAAGCCTGTATTTCATACCACACTACAACAATAAGGCAATGGGAGGGCTGGTTCTTTGACAGAAAGAAACACCAAACATAACATCTAATGGGATTAATAAGGGAAATCAGCCTCCCCATAATATTATTATATAATATTCAAAGGTTCCAGGTTGGTACCTGGACCCCATCATAAGTACATATAAAGCACAGTCCCAGGGAGATTTCAAGCTAAGAAGTGTAGGTCAAGCAAAGTTACTTAAAATTTTTCTTAATCAGTAAGCACTGCTGGTGCTTCTATTGTGTGAGGCATCATATAGAAATATGATGTCCATGTCAGAATGGGGTCCATTTCAGAACCACCTGGAATCTGACAGTGATCAAGTGACAACATACTTGGTGACCCAGAGGAATTTATAGGTGTAGCTGGAGACATATGAGACATGTCAAATACAGCACTGTGAAAGAACAGCATATATTAGATACTGGCACTGGAATAATATTGGAGAAGAAAGTATCATCAGCTATAAACCCCCACCTTTGCAGAGTCAGAAATGTTGTCCCAATATGGAGAAGGAAAATCCACCTGTCCCATCAAAATCTGATCAAAAAGCACTTCTTGGTCATCTCCACTTCTGTAAAGTAGAAACCAAAGAAAACCAACAACAAAACCCAAAGAAAAATTATTTCCAGAAGTGGTGTCAACAGACATCTTGAAATTGCTTTTAATTTTCAATCCCTTAGTATGCTTTTGGAAGCTGCTGATTTTCCCCAGGCATGCAGACATGGGTGTGAATAGTGAGATTATAAAACACAGTGCATTTGGTATCCTCTTTCTGAAGTAACCTGCTTGTCTTTAGGATTGTCCACAACATTGCAATTGCTTTGAGGGGGATAAAAGATCTTATTAAGTGGCTTACATTTTAATTACCTTTTACCAACCACAAAATATGTTGCATTTGGTCCATGAAGGAAGATGCTTATTTCACTGTGTATTTTAAACATCAGGCAAAGGCACCCAGAACCTGTAATGGAGGCTTTTATTTTGCAATGCAATGAAGTTAAAACTAAAATAAACAAACATGAGACAGAGATTTTACAGTAAAATCAAAGACATTTATGGGGTTTGTGTAAAAAACAATGTAGAGCACAAGAAAAAAATCAAACCCTATGAGCAGAGAACTTTTACCAGTGGGAATCACTGTGCTTCATGCAAAAGCAGCACAGGCACCAATTCACAGAACAAGGATGGTTGAATAGATCAGTCCATACCCACGGAATGGAGGAAAACCACAGAGCAGGATGTACGTAATCACACCCGCTGCCCAGATGTCCACCTTCAAGCCATATCTAGAAGTGTGAGAGGAGACATGGTTAGAAACATCTGACTCCTATGAACTACACTACAAGAACAGAGGAAACATGTTCCGAATTATTAATAATTTCTTATATATTCTCATCTAAATTTTCTCTATGTTCTACCTACCATTACTAATTTTGCTTTCAAATATTTTTTACATTTACATCTCAAAACTACATTAGATCAGAATGTGTGAATGCACAGGAAACACTGGGCTGTTTTCTTGAGTTAGACAGTGATGCCTATCAACATGAAGGCTGCTCAAGCCAGCAGGCATTTACTCCATGGAACAAAGCAGAAGAGGACAGTGTGTGATAATGAAATAAAATTAAGTGAATGGTAATTAGTAGTCTCTAAGGACAGCTTTAGAATTACTTCCATTGTATCTGCAAATGGCTAGTTAGTAATTCAGTGTTAAGCTAAGAAGTTTGAGGCCAACTGGCAGAGGTTGACCAATATAAGTCCAAAGTTGGCCCTGCTCTGAGCTGGCTTGGATAAGATAGCCTCCAGAGGTCCCTTCAACTAAATTTTTCTATGAGCCATGATTCTGCGTTATAGCCAAGCAAAGGCAGCGTAAAGTCTTAATTGCAAGAACTGTCTGGCACAATGGTGAGAACATGTTCCAAAGTGTACACATCAATGAATCATCACTAGAAGTGATTTACCCAGTTTCAGCGATGATTTCTGGAGCTACATATGTTGGGGTCCCACAAACAGTATATAGAGGTCCGTCCACAATTGTTGCTAGGCCAAAGTCTCCTAACTTCAGGGACTTGCTTCCATCTTGGTGTTCATAAACCTAAATCAGGAGGAAAAATCAAAGTTTACTCAAATACCATCAAGGTAGCTACTGTATCATTTACTAACTGCCTGAAATATTCCTTCTTACTTACAGTATTTTTCTCTTCCTTACCTACAATATAT